GCTTGAATATTAGCCACGCAATTAAAACAGTGTTAAATGAATTAACTCTTTTTATCCACCGGTATGATCATTAGTATTTTTATTTCTTTCTGAACAAAAAGATCATCTAAGCGACATCAGTGCCGTGTTTATTTAAATTAAGAAAAGAGAGTGGCAATTTAATTTGAAAACCATCTCACATAAGATTCAATGCTATATATATATATATATATATATATATATATATATATATATATATATATATATATATATATATATATATATTATTAATAATATATTAATATATATATATAATATGAATTAATATATATATATATATATATATATATATATATATATATACGTATTTTGCTTTGATAAAGTTCACATTGGACGAAACGCTTCAGCAATTACCAGTTTTCCTATTGTCATTTTTATTCATAAATATTGTCTTCTCTACTGGTTAAATCGGAGAAATTTTTCATATACATATATATATATATATATATATATATATATATATATATATATAATACCGTATTAATATATATATATATATATATATATATATATATATATATATATATATATATATATATATATATATATATATATATATATATATATATATATATATATATATATATATTGTATGTATGTATTTCTAAATATTATTGGAACAGCGGAAATGAGAGTAACATAACATGGAAAATACTGTCCAAATAGAGACCCTATAACGGAGCCGGTAATGGCTGGAATTTGCGCCTGAAGGAAAAAATCATAACCGTGAGCGAATTGGTGTTCAGCTTTTGAATAAGTGTAAAGAAATTGTACCCGAATGTCAGCATAAGTGTAAATATTTGATTAAAAACACACATCCGGAGTAGAAGATATCTGAGCCCCTGCAGTATATAAGTTATACGATAGTTTTGTCGCAGAGATCCGCCTGATGAGTATTATTACATGAAACTACAGCGGATGTTGCTATTGATAATATATTATTTTTAGGCTCTGTCGGCTTTGGCATTGAGCGTACAGTTTATTTTATTTTTGAAGCTTTTAGCTTATTTTATTCTTTTCACTTTTATTCTTACAATAGGTCAACAAGAATTCATCCTAAAGAATGGCTAAATTAATCTATACGGTCAAACTTCTTAAAATTTGTATTGCTTTTAGTCAATTTATGTATCGTGAGCAACTGTTTTATAAATTCCACGATGTTTCTGTTTATACAAAACAAAACAAACGTACCTTCCATATAGTTAATCTAAATTTTTGACTCAGATTGACAAAGTTTATACGAAAATCAGGAAAGTAAAATTAAATATAAACAGAAAATATTAACTGTCTGAAATTTATGTAAGTTTTGTTTTGTAGGAACAATAATATCGAGTAGATACTTCATTCATTTGTTAAACGTATCGTCTATTTTCGTTAATATTATAAAAACGAAAAAAAACAAAAAAATCTTAAAAATCAAACCAGGCGCATTTTTACTTTAATAAGTGTTCAATGAAGCATTGTGGGTACAAAGCCGTGATAGTAGAAAAAATATTATTAAACAAAATGCGCCTTTCCTTTACTAAATGTTTTGGAATATTCAGGCCGGTAGACGCAAATAAAATATTGCTTAAAAAATAAAACGAAAAGTCTACTCAAGTATGGCTATCCACTGAAATTAACATTTAAAGTGATAAATATGTGCGCGTGTGTCTGTGTGTCTCTCTCTGTTTGTGTGCGTGCGTGCGTGCCTTTGTGTGTATAAGAGCGATAGTCTTCTAAATAACGATATTTCCCCTAGTGTAGTCCTGGGTATGACAATAAACTTCACCCGGCTTCAATGATTCTGATCGGGAAATTGAAGGCTTTGAGGAGTATGGAACCAACTCTTAATTGCTGTTGTTCATAGGTCGACCATGGATCGAGGTGGTAGCAACTCTTAAGGTCCTAACAATAGGGAAATAATGAACAGCTCAAACAAAAACAATGTATTATGAAAGTAGAAAAATACATTTTTAAAGTAAAAATACCAGCAATTCACATTTATATTAAAAAAATTACGAACAATATATATTTATAATAAAATTAAAAACAGTTCATTTTATCTGTAAGTGACGGCATTCTATTGAATTTAAATCATATTTAGCTGAAGCCATAAAATTAATTTAAAAAAATGTAGATTTCGCCATTAAATAATCCTTATTCAACCAAAGAACCAACATGAAAGAAATCGTTCATGATATTAATCAATATGATATTCTAAATTTCTTAAAGAAATCAAGCTGTATTCCAAAATATAACTTCAACAAAATTGCAACATAAAACACACATAGTCTAGTAATCATGTCCAGACAAATAAACATGTATATACAAGATATATGAGAATTAATTACCACATATTCAATTGTGAAAGCAGAATAACATCTATTTTAATTACTTCAAAGTTCCTAAGTAAACTAATGTTCGCCATTAAGTGACTCATAGTTGATACGTCTTTAAACGAACAAATATTTTATGAGTCAGATTGCTCGTGTGAGAGACTCATGATAAATTTCTCACCATTTGCAATGATTTTTATTTTTTATTTGGGCCTACATTTACAAATCTTAGGAATCCGGATAGGATAAGAAAATGTTTGATTTTCACTGCAGATTGTAGCTGATGAAATGTACACAATTAACAAATGTACACTTTATTATAATGTCTGGTGAAATGTTATGTTACATTAGAAAACAATTCCACCAGGTTGGTGCCAAAGTGATGTCCAATTACATATTCATATATTTATTCGCTGAGATAATTTCCTTTACTTCCTAAAACCTCATTCTATCTGCCAACAAGTTTATAAATGCCACGCCTTTTAAATTCTTTAGGTTTTGAAGCAAATTATGAATCCTGCTCATTTTCAGCCTATTTTCTTGATGTCAGACTAAGGTCATCCAAATGATTCAATTAGTCCCCGAAATGAATGACAACCAGAAGGAGCAAAGTCAGAAGAATATGGCGCATCCAGCAATATTTACCAACCAAGCTCTTTTTAGTCAGCCGAGCTGTGTGAGGACGAGCATTATCGTCATTGAAGTTTACACCAATTCTGTTCACAAAGGAATGTCGCTTTTGGTTCAAAGCGGATTTTAAACAACGACGTTGATCATGCTCCTGATTAACTGTAATTATTTGAATGTTGTTTGTGTAAGCGATCTGGGATTGCAAAGGAATCGCCGAGAATAAATCACAGACTCGAACATCGGGGGCAGAAGAAAAAGCCGAAAACTCGATTCGCAAGGACTATTTGACAAATCGCAATGCACGCAACCACTCAGAAAAATAACTCCCTCGGCAGCCAAAATCGCCGACTTTTTTCCCATTCGTCGACAGCTGGGAGAGGATGTTCAGTAATTTGCATATCAACATTCTTTTATAACGATTCCTGCGACGGACTTGTTTTTTAATTCAAATATTACATTTATTCCATTTTCAGCATGTCATGCGGAATTCGTGCCCTTTTGTTTGGTAAGTAATTTTCTTTTTCGCCACATTTTCCGTCGTAGAAGACACGCGACGCGCTGTCGCTTAGTATGACGAGGTAAGTCGCCGTTTTCTTCGCTATTGTTTGATAGTTTATAATGGGCAACCGCTTCAATATCCCACCATACACTCAACATGATCATCTTTGGATGAAGTCTTTTTCTTGATCGTTGTACTGATTTTCTTCCTCCACTGATCCACGATCGGCGGCGTTTAACATTCTGATAAAGGATCAACTTTTCATCACCTGCAACAAGCTTAACTAAAAAACGATGCATAAAGGTGTTGGGAAAGCAATGATTCACAACAAGCAACACGCTGTTGTAGATTCTCTGGAGATTTTTGGATGATACTATTTTTGCTCGTCTTTCAAACTGAAAGCCCTACTTTTATTCACTGCATCATCTCCATAAGAATTCTGGATAGACTTTCCTGTTACACTTGCAATGACATCTTTATGAAAATCATACAGTAAGATATGTCGCATGTGATCTTTACATTGGGCGGATATGAGGCAGAATATCATGAAAAAATATTTTTATAGACTTAACGAGAAAAGTATAAATTACTTATGGTAACATACCTTAACCATAACGAGAAGCAAAAATTTCATAAATTCTATCTAAAACTTTCTTCTCAAAATCAGACATTACCGTTGCACTAACCAGATAAGTCTGTATTCATTACGAAGAAATAATTCGCTGAATACAAATACAGTCAACAACAATATTATTCGAACACCCATCAATTTTGAATATTCTTTTCCATTTCTCAGGATCTAAAGCCCGTATGATGCCAGGTTTTTTATATGTTAATAAGCACAATAAAGGAATATAAAACCCAATTTTCAGAACAATATGTGAAATACAACAAATTTGACAGTCGAAATATCCAAAATAGGAAAAGACAAAATTATTCATGCAGTAGAAAATATCATTTTAAATTGATTGATTCGTGTAAGTATAAGTAATATGCATAATTATCTTAACAGTGAAGCATTCGAGATTATTTATGCAGTAGAATATTTGTGTTAATACCAGCAGAACATCACGGGGTGCATAAAGTGTCACCATTTTTATTCTTACGTTACCCACACGATGAGGAAGACAAAGGAGCTTAACGTTGACTTGAGGCAGAGAATTATTAACTTCCACAAGTTGGGAATTAGTTACGGCGCTATTTGAAACCGGTTAGCTCTCCCTGGATCTATGGTGCAATCCCTTATAAAGAAGTTTATGTAGTTAGGCACGACAGAGAATTTACCTCCACGCGGAAGGAAACGCAAATTGTCGTCGGGAATTGCACGAAAATTGTCGCGAGGTTAATATAAACCCAAGAGCTGTTTCGAAAGATATCGCCAAAAGTTTAGATATGATGTCAGTTTAGATACGATGGTGTGTCAGCGTAAGTACTCGCACAATACAACGTTGTTTAAATAGAAATTGTTTGTATGAAAACCGACCACGATGAACCCCTCTTCATAAACATTGTAGCTCAGATTAATTTTGTCAAAACTTTCTTGGACAAAGAAAGTTGCTTTTGGGAATAAGTACTACGCAGTGATGAAACAAAAATTGATCTTTTCGTGGCATAATAATGTATAGAAGACTTGGTGCAAGAAAGGTGAGGCTTCCTTCCAAAGAATCGAGTGGCAAAATTAAAATATGGAGGCGGCTCGATGAATTTTTTTGTTTGTTTTAATTCAAGGGATACTGGACAATTAATCACAGTAAGAGGAATAATGACATTTACAGACTATACTAACATTCCGGATGTAAATCTGCAACTATCAGCGCAAACGTTTCATCTAGGTCGGCAATTTACCTTCCAGGAAAATAATAATCCAAAACATACGTCTAAATCAGTGAGTGAGTTGCTACTGAATAAGAAGATTGCAGTTCTGCTATGGCATTCCATTAGTTCTGACTTGAATCCTATTGAAAATCTATGGCAAGAATTGAAAGTTCGAATAAATCGTCGGTCAGCAAAAAACCTTCAGGAATTAGAATGTGTAACCATTAAAAATGGAAGAAAATCCCAGAAAAGACTTGCTCAAATCTCATCAAAAAATTTAGAAAACGATTGCATGAAGTTATAATGGTGAGAGGTCATGCTATTGACTGAAAATTTTTCAAATGTTTCTATTTTTCATACTGTACGAATAATTTTGTCTTTTCCTATTTTGAATAATTCACCTGTCAAATTTGTCGTATTTAACCTATTGTTCTGAAATTTGAGTTTCATATTTCTTTTGTTGTACGTATTAACATACCAAGAAGCTTGCATGATACAGGTATTCAATTCTGAGAAATGGATAAATATATTCAAAATCGATGGGTGTACGAGTAATTTCGTCGTTGACTGTATATATGATGTGAAATTTCAATGAAAGAGGGTCTGACGACTGCGTTTAGCATGAAACAGACTGTTTTTCTTTTATTTATTCATTAATTATACTTTGCTGATTATTATTATTATTATTATTATTATTATTATTATTATTATTATTATTCCGGCCGTTACTTACCTTATTTGTTAGATTTAAAGTATTTACAAATTTTCTTGGTGATATTTTACAAGATTTTCATTTTTCAATTTTAAGTTGCATGGTAAAAAAATACTGTTTACGTGTCTTAATTTTTAGATGAGTTGTGGTCGTTTATTAAGTAATCTATGTTGGTATGAGAAGGTCATTAAAGCTATTTTCTCTTCTAGACATTATACTTTTTGAATTAATATTCTAGGCTGATGCTATTTTCCATGAGATCTTGGTATATTTGGGTTTTTATTTTAATTTCCCATATATATATATATATATATATATATATATATATATATATATATTAGAAAGTCTGCTGTTGGCACAGTTGGTATTAGTAAATGATGTTTTGTGTGCGTAGTTTTGTTTCCGATCTCCGTAAGTTAATTCAGCGGGTATGTTTTCTATTTGTTATCTCCTTATCTTACATAGTCTTCATATATTCTATTGTTTTCCAATGGGTATGCTTTTATTTGTTATCTTGTCATCTTACAGTGTCTTCATATATTCTATTGTTTTTCAAGCAATTGCCATTTAAGGGACATTCTTGTATTACTTTTCTCCTCAGTTACCTATGAGATTTAGTTGTGCTTCTGATTTCTTGGTTATTTCTCTGTGTTAGATGATTACCAGCCTCGCCGTTCCCAACCCGCTTCCAACACCTGGTTACTAGGGTAACTGTACTGATCTCCGGTCTGACTACCCACGTTGTGATTAGATCTTAGACAGACGGGATCAAACAGGGATTGGGGCCGTATGCAAGTTGAGTTCGACAGGGGTGGCAAAACACAAGTAAAAAAAAAAAACTCACGAGGCCAAAAATTACTGATAAAAAGAGTAACAACCTTTTATATCTAATGTTCGTTACATAAAAATTATTCTTACTTCCCGACCCGTTTTGTGGACTGTGGCACCAAGCTTCTACCATACAATTTAAAGACTTCAGGTTGCCTACTCTCTAGAAATGTGTATGTCGGAGTGTGGTTTGGTTTTCGACACTGGGCGCTAATCTCTACCAGTCGTTCACGGCTGATTCTTCTCTTCGGCTTGAGTTGGACGAGCTTATTCACTTCGGCTTGAGTTGGACGAATTTCTTCACTTCGATTTGGGTTGGACGAATCTCTGTTCTTAGGCTTGGTTTGATTTCAACTTCTTCTATGCGCAACTGCTTCTTCTTCTTCGTCCGCCCTGCAACTCTTCTCGCCAAGGTCCGAACTCTTCTCTCTGCCGTCTGAGACTGAACTCTTCTCGCTGCCGTCCTGGGAACTCTAACTTCTCTCTGTCTGGCCTGCAATTCTTCTGCCTGTCTGGCGTCTTCTGCCTGTCTGGCCTGCCATTCTTCTGCCTGTCTGGCCTGCAATTCTTCTGCCTGTCTGGCCTGCAACTCTTCTGCCTGTCTGGCCTGCAATTCTTCTGCCTATCTGGCCTGCAATTCTTCTGCCTGTCTTGCCTGCAATTCTTTTTGCCTGTCTGGCCTGCAGCTCTTCTGTCTATCTGGCCTGCAATTCTTCTGCCTGTCTGGCCTGCAACTCCGCTCCAACTTCTCTACGGCTTTCGAGCAATTTTCTTCTCTTCGACTTGGCTGCAACTTCTCTGCCTGTCCGGGCCAAACGGACCGACCCTTCTTGCCCGCAAGGGGCGAATGAACAGGGCCCGCCGTCCGCTCTCCAACTGCTCTGGCCGTCCACCCCGCAACTCTGATTTCTGTCGATTGGGGTCCTGCTTTTATTGACGTCGCAACAAACTGGGGTGGGTCTGTCGGCGTCAGGGTTTTCTTGATAATTCCAAAAGTCGCACTATTTCTGATTTCCCATTATCGCTCTTACTCTCACCCCTACTTTCTCACAGTGCCTCTGGGGGGGGAGGCGCACACCCATCTCTCCCGGTCTCTCGTATGTCAGGTGACCGTTTTCGACCAATGGGTCCTAGTCGAGCGTCCTTTCTCCTCTTCCTCGCATATCACGTGACCGCTCTCAGCTAATGAGATTCTGGTCGGGCGTGTTTCGTCCCTCGTGACGTTTCCAATCGGGCGTGGCCTATCCGGGGCTTTGTTCTGGGGAAGAAACACCTTGCTAAAAAAAAACAAAATCCAATTTGGCCTTTTTCGCACGCACGAAAATGACAATCTCGGCCTTTCTCACCTTTTGGCTTTTGTCAAAACAGCCCGCCGCTAATTAGATGTGTCTTCAGGAAGAATTCTTCTCGTCTTGCTGGCGCTTTCTGTGAGCCAAAACAATTGTTTTCATTCCTTTATTTTCGCTCAGGCCTGATAGCCAAAATCTTAATTATCTGAATTGAAAATATCTTCACTTTATCATCGTGGGGGTTCTTATTTTCAACTCTAGAGCTGGTCAGGATCTGTATACAATTCCAGCGGTCACCTCTCATCCCAAAGACACCCTTTTCGATTAATATTTCTTTTCCATTGTTCTAAAAATCCCATTTCTCCAAATTGATAATGAACTTCTTCCGCGGACACAAAAAGTAGGCCAGGTGTTTTGACCGATTTTATTAATCGTCCGTCTTGATGTCTTTCCACTTGTACCATGTCTGTTTTCTTTCTTTCTTTTAATTATCTCTAACTCTATTCTTTCAAATAACAATTTCTATTGTTCGTGAAATTCAGTCAAACGCGTTGGCCTAGATATCTCTTGACACCTGTTTTTCGCTTATGACCGGCTTTTTGCATTATCCATCTCCCTCCCTCTTTTCTTTCTTTTCCTTTTCTTTTTTCCTTCTTCTTCCCTTAGGATCGCCTAAATCCAATTAGAGAATTATTCTCAAAACTCAATTATTCTTCGTCTAAATAACTAACAACTGGTTAATAAACCGAATAAAAATTAAATCATATTTCTATGAATATTTCTTTTTTTTTCTAATAATGCAAGGTGCCACAATTTACACCATTATAATCTTCAAAGAAAAATTACAATGTAAAAATGTATTTTTGGTTTAAAAACCTGCAAATGGTTAATAAGCCGTAAGCAAATGAATGACATTCAAGACAACTGCGTGTATTTAAGCGTAATACTAGATTGACTATTAAAATCGTTTTACTGTTTACCTAGCTAGATGTAACCGTACGTCCTATTCTAATAGTTTCTTTTCTTTTCTCATCTCTTCAAAGATTTAAATGTAACGTCAATCGCCATCTGTCTGTCTTCCTGAAACCTGTTCCTCTATTGCCCTTTCTCTTTACTAAAGATTAATCATCCTTTTCCACTAGTAATTCCTTGGTATTTACTGGTATTATCAAACTTGGGATGAAATGATTACAAAAAATTGGATGAGGCTTTTTGGAGACTAACCATTGACCAGTCTAGCTAGATTTTATAATGGGCTACCAAGAGATATTTTTTTCCAACGTAGTCTTGGGAGTCGACAGGGAGCACACAATCACTCCACCATATCATCGTAGCTAATCACAGAGATATTCAAATTTTGAGTTTATGCCACCTCACTTTAACAAAAACGGTTCCGATGATAGCCAAAATGAGGTAAAAAATTCATTTACCATTAATTTATATGGGACCTGTATTTGAACAAACCCTTTAAATGCAACCTTTTTTTCGGGATGCAGAATTAATTTCAACTTCACTCACTTATGCGACGCGAATGAGTCCGAATTTTTATTCTTGATAACTTCAAAACGGTAAATTTTATCAAAATGCCTTTGTTATTTTCAAATTAAGCACGTAGAAGTTTCACCTAAATGGAACTATTCAAATTTTTTTTATTAGAAACTGAATTTTCCTTCGGACTACAAATTACTCTTTTGAATTTCCGAGTTGAAATTAGTTCTTCACTCCCTTTTCTGTATCTTCCTGTCTCAATGTCGCGGGTCCAAAGTGGGATCCTGAACTGGCAAAATATATCTTACATCTTACTCTCTTTCACTTTTCTATCACACGCCGAAAACGGAAATTTATGACTCAACCTAAAAGAATTGGTTAGCATTCTGCAGCAATATCTTCAATTCTTTTGATATTCGACAGTGATGATAATGGATGGCCGTCTTTAGAGAAACGTGTTTGTTTTAGTTTTGCGAGCAAAATAACATGATCCTTACTAAATGGCTTTTTCAATTCATTACTCCATTAAAATGGCGGTATATTTCATTATCAGTTATCATTCAGTGCCGATTACTGTGTATCGCGCTAACGTATCAAACTACTGATGTTTGCCTATATTTAGTGGATACAAGTATATATTTTAGAATAGTGTAAGTTACATCTACCGGTCTGGACATGTGTCGGTACTCAAAAGATCATCAAAACCTCCAAGCATTTTCACAATATTTTTCTGCAATCACATAACCCGTCTAATCGTATTGAAAATCTCAGGCAATGTTATTATTCGTTATGGCTGTGAACAAAATTATTCTAATATAAATTAATTTCAGCTACTGCTTTGTTTTACTCTATTTCCGCTGGCAAAATATTTCGAAGGAAAAACTATTTTCTCATAGCGACGGAAACTAGTTTCACAAAGATGTACATTACAAGGAATTACCTAATTCATATTCGACAAACATAATGGATATGGTTTTATCATAATAAAATATAATCACTGTATAAAAACGTAACTGAAAAGGATAGTTGTTTTGCAAAAATCATATTATTTAAACACATAGTTTGAACAAATTTAAAACAAAATAACTTGAGCAAAAGAGCAATTAAAGATTTGAACTACAGAAATATCGTCATGACAATATGAATTATAACGGATAATTGATGCAAAGGTGTTCGATGAAGTACACCACAAAAAATATGCAAAAATAGAAAGGTTTGTAAGACAAGGATATGTTTTCCATCACCGAAGCTTCACCAGAAAGTGATGATAATGAATGCCCTTCTGTGGACTAACGCGCATCATTTAAACTGGCTTGTTGCAATTAATTAAACCATTAATCAAGACGGATATTAAATTTATGGAACTTCATATCGTCTTAATGTTGTAGAAATGGCTTTAGAACTCATTGGATTCGTATGGATGTAAATGCTAATGTTCAACCCCAAAGGTGGGCGAATACTGTAACTTTTGCAACCTATATGATGACATAAGCCTGTTTTGCATGAACACGCAGGCGTCCAACTCTTGTCTAAAAGAAAATTTGCTCTCAATAACACTTGGCGTCATTCCCATCTCCAGGTGACAGTCTCATGATACCGCTAGATACGGATATGAGAGTCTTTCTGTTGTAAACGAAAAACTTTAATTGTTATGCATGCACATATTCTTTTGTACAGGTAAAACATTCACAATGATCTGTAATATATCTTCTGCTTTAAAATTTCACTCTTCTATGCTTAATAGAGTCCTTTACCTAAAACGATAAACTACATCCATCACCAAGGCCTCGGATCAGGAGGTTTTGAGGCGTGGAACCACCTCTTAATTACTGATGCCTGCTGCCAGGTCCACCATGACCCGGGGTGGTAGCACAACATGTTAGAGTCCCAGCTATGGGAAATAGTTAACCCCCAAACTGGTATCAAAACGTGCAAAAATATATTTTCATACCAGAAATAAAATTTTGTAAAAAAATTAATACAAAAATAAATTTTCGAAGGAAAAAATATTACCAGTATTACATTATTACCAGCAACACTTTTTTTGAAAAAATTATTACAAATAATAATTTTTTCTTTAATATTACCAACAATAAAAATCTTGTCGGCATTAAAAAATACCATTGAGTTTGATATTTCGTAAAAAAAAACAAACCAATATCTGTGTATATTTCTGAGATTAAGTATTATGTTTACTATTTACATTATTCGGACTACTGTCTTTATCTTTGTTGCCATATTTATTTACTCCGAATAATGTAAATAATGTACATAAACCTCATCTCAGAAATATAGAACAGGTGATAAATATATACGCGACAATGATGAAGACAATAGTCTGAATAATGTGAAAACAAACGAAACATAAACAATCTATCTGAGGATGCCATACATTCTACAAAACCTGATTTTTCAAACACGACGGTCACAGCAAGCGTATGTAGGCCGATCAGAACCTTGTGTACGTGTTTAGGAATTATGTTAGTTTCGAAAATAATTCATACTCCTTGAAATCTCTTTTCAATATAGAAGCACCAATGACGTGCCACCGTAGCATGCGCTGTATTTTTCTGAAATGACCATCCAGTCTCCCATAAGCCCACACTTCTCACAAACGGCTGCAAGTAAAGAAAAAGAACATACATTTGCATGGCATGACAACTGCTTCTAGTGGTCTCTTTCACAGAGTCAAATCAGCTTCATATCTATGCATAGCAAACTTAAGGAGAAAATTTCGATAGATTTTTCTCAGGAACTGCTTCTTTGAAGAAAGAGACTCTTGTGAGGATGCTTTCCTGATCATTCAAATCAAATGCCAATTGTTATCGATTCTCTTTATACTAAATAATCTTCACTTCCTACTACTTTTTGTTTCCTTCATGCTACGGACCCTCATTTATCAAGACTATTTTATCAGAAAAAATCATTTTTGGCTTGCGAGCATTGTTTTGGATAAACTTTGTTATAAAAAAATCACGTATCATTATTGCAATAGTCTCATAAAGTGCACAGTAAAATTTGTTTTTACGTCGGAAAGCCGAATATATTCAATGTTATATCAGGATACCTATATCAACCAAACTTACACTTCTCATATTAAAACATTAAAAACATGCCAAAGTCTTATATTTCTTCTGCCTGTCTTTGTCTGTAATTTTTATTGTATATATATATATATATATATATATATATATATGTGACGTCGTCCCCGGTCGCAGCGTCGACTGTGTCGTTCGATCCCGTTCGCGGCGCCAATTGTGACGTCAAAAAGTGCTCCCCAGGCTCTGATATCCTGCTCGTCACGGACAGCACCGACTGTGACGTCATTTGTCGCGGCGTCAGCTGTTCGCTCCTCGCTGCTCCAAACGTGACGTTCTAACCCTTTGGTTAGATTGATACCAACCTCGTCGTTCCCAACCCGCTTCCAACGCCTGGTTACCAGGGTAACTGCACTGATCTCCGGTCTGCCTACCCACGTTGTGACTTGATCTTAGACAGACGAGATCAACAGGGCTTGGGACCGTAATGCAAGTTGAGTCTAACGGGGGTGATATCACACAATTATGTATAAAAAAAAAATAAAATAACAACTCAAAGGTCCAACGTCAAGAAAAGGTAACAAACTTTTATGTCTATTTGTTCGTTACATGGGACTATGTCTACCTCCCGACCCGTTCTCTGGACCGTGACACAACGCTTTTACTAGGCAACTTTAAGGCTTCCAGTTGTCTGCTCTCTAGAAATTTGTGTTTCAGGGGTGTCCTTTGGTTTCAAGAAGCGCGAAAAAACGGCTGATTTCTCTCTCGCCGTCCGTAGCTGCAACTCTCTCTCTTCAGGTCTGATTTAAGTTCGCTCTCCGCTGTCAAACTACTTGTTCTTGGTTGAAGAAGATTCCAGTAAAGGGGCGTGAATCTTGGTTAGCTATCTTGACGTCGGTTTCAACACTGGACGCTCATCTCTGCTTGTCGTTCACGGCTCAAACTGGACTAATCCGGGCTCGCCGTCCGCGGCTGATCTCCCTTTTCTGTCGTTTGGGGTTCCGCTTTTATTGATGCAGTCAAAAACTGGGGTGGGTCTGTCGGCGCCAGGGTTTTTCTTGATAATTCTAAATCCACCCTTCTTATTTCTGATTAGGGATTTTCCATTTCGGTAACTTACTTTCCTCCTACTTCCTTATTGTGCTCTCTGGGGGGCGTATATCGGCCCCTCATACTTCCCTCTGGTCCTTCGACCGATTCTCCTCGTGCGTCACGTGACCGCTCTCGACCAATGGGGTCCTGGTCGGGCATCTTTCTCCTCCCTTGTGTATCAAGTGACCGCCCTCGGCCAATGAAACTCCTGGTCGGTATTTTCCTCCTTCCTTCGTGCGCCGTCTCCCATCTATCCAATGCGTCTTTAGTCGGACAATCAATCCTGGCTTTGTTCTGTGGGAAGAAACACCTTGCTTAAAAAAAAACAAAATTTAAATTGTCCTTTTCGGTTTCTTTTTACACGTGGTATCTGTCAAAACAGCCCTATCGCTAATTGGATACGATCTAAGAAAAGAATTTCTTAACCTGTCGGCGTCTCTCTGAACGCAACAAAATATTTCATTCTCCTCCGGCCGATAATAAAATCTGTATTATCTCAAAAAGCGACATCACCTTGGGTGGTTGTACTTTCAATTCTGGCATTGTCTGGGTTCTTGTATTAATGCTTTGTTTTCATATCCTTAGATACACTTCCCCATCTGTTACCTATCATCTCAATGACACCCTTTTCATTTGTTACTTATCAATATTTCTTTTTTTTTTCATTGTCTCTAAAATTTTATTTCTTCAACCAAATTGATAACAAACCTCCATTTTTCGTGGACACCGAAGTAGGTCAGGTGCTTGACCTGATATTTTTGACATCTGATATGTGCCAGTCGAGCGTGTGTGTTTTCGCTTACGACCTGGTTTCGTATTATTTATTTTTCTCTTTTCTTTCCTTTTTCTCTTCCTTTCTTTCTTTCTCCCAGATCGTCTGAACGCAATTAAAGAATTATTCTCAACCCCGAAATATTTTTCAGCTCTAAATAACTCTCAAATGGTTAACAAACCGAAAAAACAAATCATATATTTATGAACATCTCTTTTCAGTTTTCTAATTATGCATGGTGCCACATTAATGTGTCCAGGAGTTTAACTGACATGATTTTCGGTGGTGGTGGTGGTATTATTATTATTATTATTATTATTATTTTATTTCCTTTGATTTCTGGTGTGTACATATTTCTTTCCGGGTCCCGCCCAGGGACCTAAGGTTAGAAATGGTATCATGATATTTTCCACTGACCAATTTAAAATAAACACATACATATTTTACATAGATAAATCCCTTCGTAAGGTGTGTGCTGTA